TGATAAAGAGCAGCCACCTGCAGTGTGGTGGTGCTGGGAGGTGGGGATGCTCGTAAGGGATTGGGGGGTGAGGAAGGGAGGGGACGGCACACGATGAGAGAAGGGAGAGAGGGAGAGAGAGAGAGAGAGAGGGAGAGAGAGGGAGATGTTAGGGAGTGAGGAAAGGAATTGCAGGCAGTGGGAGTGTGAACAGTCGGGACAATAGAAGGACACCAACCGGTCTGAGGACGCTCCGTGTTCCTGCCTGTGGGAGACGGCAGCGTCTTTACATGGACGTGACCTCAGTCGCCCTGAGTGACAGGCTGGGGGGGGAGACGGGGGACGTGGCTTTGACGTTCTTGCCAGAAGAGTTGTTTGAATCTGGCTGCCAGCAATTACTAAAGTGCTGTGTGAAGTGACGGCGTGGACCCTGGGGTGGATGTAGTTTCTGCTGCTACGATTCCAAGATTCTGGAAAAACCAGGAGGACGTTTGCGAGGCGGCCGTGTCTTCATTTACGTTAGAGGATCGTAAAAATGCGAAAAACTAAAGGAGGACGTTGTTAACCTTTTGGAAGGCGTAAAGCTTTTACTTTGAGTCTTTGATTTTTGATCGTTTTCGTGCGTTGGCAGATTTTGGTTGCGGAACTTTGTGTTTCCTTTCTCTTGATTAAAAAAAATGTGATCATTAAAAGCAAATAAAGCTAACTCGTCTGTAGAAGGTATAATTGAGTCCTCCCACTCGGGCTCTGCTTTTAGAGTTGAATCTGCGACATTTTAGGAAGGGTTTCTTGTGACGTCGTAGCAGCTGACGGCTGTCAGAACCGCAGTTGTGTTTGTTTTCATGTTTCACTTTCTTCAACTCCTGCTTTGTTGAATTTGCTCATGATGTTTTGCTAAGTACATGTCCCTCCTGTGGATTTTTTTGCTGAATGTGTCGGATCTGCACTCCCGGGCTTAAGCCCGTTTGCGAACTGACTTCGATTCCATGTCCATGTCTCTGAACTTTTAAATAACTGCTGATGTCATCGCTGGCTCCTCTTAGAGCCACTGACTTTTTCTGGGTCAGTCATAGTTGACCTCAGACATGTGAACGTTTTTATTCCCCTGACAGTTATGTTGATGCTCGTCACGTGTTCAGTTCATATCAAAGAGTAGACCGCCAGCCTTCGACCTCCACCCGCCCCTGTTCAAAATCACTTCCACCGTAATCCATTCCACGGGTCTGTAGTTCGGCGCCCGCTTCTCCGCGGGAGCCGATGCCCCGTTCATCCAGGACACTGTCCCCGCCGCCTTCCTGTTGCCGCTGCGCTCGGCTCTGCTGGCTGAGGATGATGTGGCAGTGCCACGTCTCGTCCTCAGAGTGCCAGTGCTACAGACTGAAAGGTTTCTCCCTGCTGAAGCGCTTTCCCCTGTCGGCAGGTGCTGCGGACCGGCTGCTGGAGCAGTCGGTGGGAGAGTGGCTGGAGCACGTGGGCCTCCCACAGTACGAGAGCAAACTGCTGCTGAATGGATTTGACGACCTGCGCTTCATGGTGAGTCCTCACTTCACTACACTGTCCCACTGAACCTCTACTTTAGTTCGATGTGTTTTCGCTCGTGTTACTGTTTTTCTTTTCTTGGGTCGTGGTTTTGCTCATTAGACTCTGTGTTTCTTGTCAAGTGCTTTTATTTATACAAACATTTGGATTCAACATGTTGGTTCATTATACATCAGATCGATACTTCACTCAAACTCCTGTCAGCAGTGAGAGGCAGGCCATTTATTTTTGGAATTTTCTTTTTTTTAAATCTTACACGTAAGTCGTCACATCATCAACATAAAGTGGAAAAGATCACACGTCAGAATCAGTGGTGTTGATTGAAGGTGAGACCAGGAAGGAAACTGATCCAAGAGGCTGTTGCATCATCAAGAAACTGAAAGAATTTAATGAAGCATTTCTGAAAGTTCTTTTGAGAGTGAGAATCGAAAAAAATATCTTGTTGACGGATCGCTAGGAAATATTCCTAAATTCAAAAAATTATTTAGTCTCACTAAAACGTTGTCCTCAGCTCGGGGGGACACTGCTGTCTGGGATTCATTTGATACGATGTCAAACTAGCAACCTGCCAGTGAGCAGTGGTTGTAGCCAAGCCACCAGGAGTTGGCCGTGTTGTGTTTGTCAGTGAAGACGAGTGATGAAGGGTGAGGAGGGTGAGGAGGGTGAAGTCTGAGCCAGAGTGGAGGAAAGTGAAACAGCCATTGAACTGTTTTCATCTCCCTGTCACATCAATCCTTCACCTTTTTGTTCAGGGAAGAAGAAAAAACCCAGGTGTTTTTCTTGTTCAATTCCAACTCAACGCCACATCTCATTCTGACTTTGGACGTCATTCCAATCTGTCCCCTTCTTGGTTCCCAGTGTTTTCTGCAAGAATGGTGGAAAATTATAGTGCTTGCTTTACAGCAAGAATGTTGCTGGTTCAACGCCCGCAGTCTTTCTGTATGGAGTTTGTGTTGTGTTGTTGACTCTAAATGACCATGGTTTGACTGTGAATCTGTGTCTGTATGTGGCCCACTGATGGACTGCTGGACACTCTGGGGTGTGGCCCACACTCACCTGTTACCTGCTGGGTCGGGCGGAGTCGACCCTGTTACTGATGAATGTGTGGATCAATCAATCAGCACTTTTTAATGAAGCTGATTAATTACCAGGACTAACAACTAGTCACTAACTCTCTGACCATCTGTTTATATCGACAGTAGAGTCGATGTGTCTTTTATCTTTGACAGAAACTGCTGACTCGCCTTCGTTCGGTGTTCAGTGGTATTTGTGATTGATTCAGAGTGACAGATTTGATTGATGAGCTGAACTCTCGATGTGTTAACCAGGTTGTTAATAACTTCTCACTTTAGAATTGGAAATGTGCTGAGATCTTAAAAAACAAATGGGGGGTTTGAGTGGCTGGAGAACGATCACCTGCCTCGCTGAAGGTTTCAGGTTTGATTTCATGTCGTCTCCTGCACCGGGTCGAGAACGAGCACCGATACTTTAGCCACACCTGAAATAAGACGGGCCTTTTAAAATGTGTCCTTTGCTGATCTTATAAAAACACACTTTAATCTGAACTAAAAGTAAGAATCAAATCATCAGTTATTCTTTTATTGCGGCGTTAATGGAGTGGCTGCAGCAGGGTCGGTCACGTCTTATTATAAGGTGCAATAACTAATGTATGAAGTCATTTAATGCAATAAAACTGCAAGTTATACTTTGGAGAAAGAAGCATTTAATGCAATAAAACTGCAAGTTATATTTTGGAGAAAAAAAAGTAGTGTTTGTACTAAATACACTCAGCAACATTAATTTGCTACTATAGATCAGCGTGTACCACGGCTGACTGAAGGTAAGAAAACTGTAATACCATCAAAGCCTCTGGTTTATTTTGCTGCGTAGATAAAAACATGACAAAACTAAAAAATCCCTGGAGAATGTTCTGAAGGTGGGATTTAAATTTCCCACAGGGATTAAAGAGACTAAAAGGAACATTTGTTTGAGAGTTGAGTCGCAGCCGTAGACGAGGTGCAGCGAGATGACTAATTAAACTGTGTTTAGTCAGACGGTCACACTGCAGTGGTCTCTGTCTGTCCTGCAGGCACAACTGCAGGAGTGAATCGATAGCAGCGGTGATTGTGTTGTGTTGAAGAAGCGGAGCGGAGACCGAGCTCCTCTGCTTTCATCGACGTGAGGTCCAAACGGCCCGATGAAACAAAAAAACAAACTCTGCAGCCCAGGTTTTCTTCAGGCTTGTTAAAAATTTAAAAATTAAAACAGAAGAATGAAAATATAATTAACCAGTCACAGCTGAGGTCACCGAGAGCCTAAACTGTTTTGATTTTGTTTCACTCTGTAGGGGAACGTGTTTGCCTGAAATCGATGGGAGACGATAACTGCTTGTTGTCATTCTCTGGGGGGAATTTACAAATGTGTTTGCCCTGAAAACTACAAATGGAAATAAGTTTAAAATTAAGCACATGATTTAATTGATTTAAATATGATTTCGTGAAGAGTCGTTGGCTACAAGAAAAACTGAGGATTTGCTAATAATTTATTAGCCAATAATTGACAAAAGTAAAAGGCAAGATTTTCTTAAATGTTGGTCAAAACTGTAATAAAATACTAAAAATGAGTCCAAAGAAATTAAAAACTAGGACGAAATATATAATAGTTTGCAATAAAATACCTAAAATGTACACAAATATTAAAACCTGTGCTGAAAAAAGAAAGATTTCAGAAACCGTTGGTCGGGTTTTAAACCAGTGACATCATCAACACGTGTCGTTCCTCCTCTCACTGTTACTGTTCTCTGTCATTTATTAAAAGCCAAGTTGTTATGTTGGAACATTTCTGTCACCATCGCCTGCAGACAAATAGAAATTCACTAATGGCCGAATGCATTAGAGGCAGAAGTCCCCGGGGGCTGATGGCTCTGATGGATTGATTTTCTGAGGCTCCGCTCTGGGTGTTAATGTTGGTTCGTCCGTATGACGACGAATAAAAAGCAACAGAATCTTTGATGTGGATTATTTTTGTTTCCCATCAGTCTCTGTTGTCTGGCAGCAGCGTGTCCTTCACAGAGAACACTCCCTGACTCCCTGTTCCTGTGGATGGTCAGCGTGACTGATCTGAGGCCTGCAGCCCTCGGCCTCCACTCACAGGGCTTCAAAAACGGCTGCGGCTGCTGTTACAGTACAGAGATGTTGGATGAACCGCACAAACACAGGCACCGACCACCGATCTCACACTGCTGTGAAGTCGTATTTTCACTTACGTTCGAGCTGATGTCAGCTTTTTTCCTCATCTTATGTATCGTTCACTTGTGCAGCTGTCGAGGTTTCGGCGAAGAGAGACAACAATCTGTCTTCTAAAGTTGACACCTCTGAGTCTTTCACAGGTTCATTGAGTTCTATAAGGTGTTTTGTTGAGATAAAAAATGTTGACATGTAGCAAAGGTGAATGGAACGTTGGTGTTCTCAGGGAAATTAGAAATTTGTAACTCTCCCAAATTAAACTTTTTTTGTATCGTACCTTCTGACTGAAGCTACACATAAACTACACTACAAACTATTCAAAATGTGCGCTGGTTGAATTGATGCCATATTTTAGGCTAATTTTCACAAAGTTTATAATCCAAGGTTGCGTTTTTTTTTGTGTCTTAATCCTCTCACTGACACGTCCAGTCCAGTATGTTTAATTTCCACACAAAATAGTGTTTATTTAAAAAATAATAAAAAAAATCATTATTAATATTTGATACTAAAATTTGCAAAAACAACCAAGTTGTAGTTTTAGGTGTGTATGCGTACATGTTATACCTACTTGCGGGGACATTGTTTTGGAACCACCCCTTTGTTGTGAGGACCCTGTGATTCATGGGAACATTTTCTGCACTAAGAGGAAGTTATTTTGATGGTCAAAAAATACTTTAAACTCAGATTGTGGTAGGGATTAAGGATTATATCACAAAGCGGTAACAAAGCATTTTAACTAGCAACCTGAACAGTTACTACTGTAGGGAGCCTGGCTATTGATCCACAACTGCCTTATTGTGCGCTGTTGTCTAGTTTTAGTACCAAATAAACTCTTGAGGACAATTGTTATTGCTCTTATTAATGACGTGTGAAGTGGCCTGGTTTGGCATCGACTTCTATTCACACATAGTTTCAAGTTTCCCTCTTGTTTTTTGCAGAGGTGATTCATTGTAGAGACAGGAGAATCGGTGCGTTGCTCCCGTATTTCCTCCCTCACAGCCTTATATCAGGTGATCTCCAGTGGCACAGAAATGTAAAGATCAATTCACTGTGAAAGAACAAATATTCATCCAGCTCCAACATCAGTCCCGTGGGCTGCAGATGATGAGATTGAAGTGTGAAAGGAAAAGCGCTGAGTCATGATGTTGCTGTTCACTCGCCCTCCGTGTCCTTGTTTCTTGTTTTTATCAGTTTTCTTTTTTGCTTCCAACCTAATTTAAAAATAAAATCACATTATTAAGTCACCCTGGTTTTTATCATATTACACATTGCATCTGTGAATCACTAGTATAGTCTGTGTACTGTTACTTCATGGAACATTGTGCGGCATTACTCTGCACATTTTCTTCCTCCTCATCATTAAAGTCTGTGGCTTCTGCATGAAGAACAGCGTGTTTGCTTTGACCTAGAGACAGTTTATGTCCTGCCTCAGCTCTGTATGTGTGTGTGTGCATGTGTGTAAGTTAAAGTGGGCACAATTAGCGTCATGTCGATTAGCGTCAGTCATGTTGTGGGTCGGACACACGGGTCCCTGCGTCAGGTTACTGCTGAGGCATCACATTAGGATACAGTGACATATCTGTGTTAGCTGCTGAGCTTCTGTTTTCATTGTACATATCTGGGGCCACACGGTGGCAGGTGTGATTATTGCGCTTGTCTTATAGCAAGATAATAATCTGTTGGTTGTTTTGATGCCCAGTAGTTTTCTTCTTCATCTTGGTGGTTTTTTTTTCTCATTTTCTCTTCAAACTTGCTGTGTTAGGGTCATTGTTATGTGAATGGTTGACTCAATATGTGGCCCTGTGATGGACCGCTCCCTCCTCTGATGATTGCTAGGACTACCTGGTAGAAGATGAATGAAAAATTCTAGTATTTACACCATGAAATCAGCTGTTGATGAAACTGCTCACATGCATGTTGCGTTTTTTGTTTTTTTTCCATTTTGCTGCTGACGACTGCAGCCAACGTCAGAGTCTGCTACTCTGTCTCCGTCCATCTCACGTGCCTGACCACTCTGCACGTCTGACATTGATTTATCGCTCCCTTCTCTATTACCCGTTGCCTGCCTCACGGTCTCAGAGGTGGTTCTGTGTGTAACCAAAGATGGGTTTTCGGCCATCACTTACACAAATCCCTGTCGACTGCCCTGCCCCCACACACTGAACGTCATCCATCAACATTCTCCTGGTCCTGCAGCCAGTCAGTCAGTCAGTCGAGGTTTGACCGTCTAACTGTGGAATTATTGACTTTTTTCTGCAGCATCAGCATTGCCTGTGATCAATAAAACCCCAACAGTAAACGATGCTGCATAATTTGTCTCAGTTCTTCAGAGATTAGATTTTTTTCATACTTTTAATACAGAAAACCAACTACACAGATGACACACTATTAAAGTCTAGTTTGTGATTAAAAATTGTAAACTATTGTCCGATAATTTTTCTTTGCTGGTCAAAGCTTGAAAAGTAGAACAATTAACTACTTTTCTGCTTGGTGGCAGCAGATAGCTATAAAAAAAATCACAGCTGTTGAAGAAGATCTTTGTGAGTGTCTTCAGTAGTAGGAAGACTGAAGGTCAACGTCAGTCTTTTTGTTTGACAGGGGAGCAACGTGATGGAGGACCAGGACCTGAGAGAGATTGGAATCACAGACCCAAGTCACAGAAAGAAGATCCTTCACGCAGCGCGGTCGTTACCCAAGGTGAAAATCACTCATTTCTTTTTCAAAAGGACTTGAATAAATTTGTCCTTTACAGTATTTTCCCTCGTCCTTCTCGCTCTACTTTTTTTCTGTCCTTAATTGAATATTGAATTGAATGTCTGGTTCCATCTGCAGGTGAAAGCTCTGGGCTGTGATGGCAGCAGCTCTCTGTCCACCTGGCTGGAGAATCTGGGGCTGCAAGAGTATTTACACAACTTCCTGGCCAGCGGCTATCGCACCCTGGACTGTGTCAAGAACCTGTGGGAACTAGAGATCGTCAACGTAAGTCACTGTGATGGTGAACGTTGGTGGTGTGAGACGTACGGCGGCAGCTAATACCTGAACACTGAAACTTAACTGCACACTAAAGAGCTTCTTCACCACCCTTGTTTGCACCAGGTGCTAAAGATCACTTTACTGGGTCACAGGAAACGCATTATTGCTTCGTTAGCAGAGAGGCCGTATGAAGAGCCTCCAGTCAAACCTCCACGCTTGTCTCAGATCAGGGTAAGAAGGTCGTGTGTGAATTCATTAACGTTCATTTATTAAGTGGTTTGTTATATATTTTCAATTGAAATAGAGATAAAGCTCCGCTCACTTTCTGTTCATTTTAAGTTTAATTTCAAATTTAGTAACAAAATGAGAATACCTGTACTCATGTGTAGAAAATTGTATCAGGGGATAACCTTAAAACATCAGTTTCTGCTTGAGAACAGGCGTCTTTGAGCCCCAACCACTTCTGCCCCCATGTGGCCAGATTTATAAACGCTATCTGAATTTATGGACAGTTTGTCTTTTGAGAAGATGTTATTAAAGGATAAACTGCAGTTGTGTAGCTATTTATGATGTCATTGTAGTCCTTTCTGTATTTTGCCCACACATTTATATGTCATTGTAGTCCTTTCTGTATTTTGTCCACACATTTATCATTTGTCAAAATTTAAAATAATTATAATCCTAGTTTGCTACTTTGTTTTTAATCACCCTGACTGTACGTCTGGATCCACAGTGCTACGATCTTCCTGGGTCCCAGACCTCGTCCCCCTTCAGTCACATGGAGTCCTACACAGGTCGTTCCATGGACCCTCTGCTGCCTGTAGGAGAGACGGGGAAGAAAAAAGTGCCAGAGAGTGACCACGACAGTAGCCAAAGACACCGCAGCGAACGACACAGAATTCACGTAAGTTCAGGTTTATAGTCACATCATTTTAGCAGACCTGATCGTTCTCCTGAGAGTTTACAATAACCTGAGCCACCATGATTCCAGGAACGGCCTGAAGAGCGACTTCGCGAGCCTCGTCTGACCCTGCGACCTCCCAGCCTCGCCGCACCTTACACTCCTGTCCAGAACTGGCATCACCAACCTGAGAAACTCATCTTCGAGACCTGTGCCTACGAAGCCAGTGTACATTAACTTTCCCTTCATCCGAAAATATATTTTTTACCTCACTGATGAGTACAATTAATTAGATTTTTTATTCTTCTCTGCGTAGTACCTTGGTTCCATGCTTATTAAAGATCTACGGGGCACTGAGTCGACCCAGGACGCTTGTGCCAAAATGCGGGTGTGTATCAAGTTGTCATCAGTATAATTTGATTTTTGTTTTTCTAAATGAAACTGTAAATGATTGGATCATAAATATTTCTGTCTGTTTTTGTGGTCCTCCAGAGGTCGACAGAACAAATGAGGAAAGTTCCAACCATTGTCCTCTCCATCACCTACAAAGGGGTGAAGTTCATTGATGCAGCCAATAAGGTACGCTAACAACAAGGCCTCATAACAAGGATGTCAAACTCATTTTGGTTCATTCTCAGAACATGAATTACAATGATAATGTGTTGGTTATTGACTGAACCATGTGTACCACGCAGAACATCATCGCCGAGCACGAGATCAGAAATATTTCATGTGCAGCCCAGGACCCGGAGGACTTGTGTACGTTTGCCTACATCACCAAGGACCTGCAGACCAGCCACCACTACTGCCACGTCTTCAGCACCGTAGATGTGGTAAGGAAAGGAAACGATTTCTTCATAAAAATGACCTGATAATTCAAAAGTCAAACGTTTACAATCTTGCCTGACGGGTACCTTTTAATTCTCCGTCAACATCATTTCCTGTCTTTGCTCTGTGCTGATGCGATAGTCTCCAATCTCCAGGTGGATCGTCTCCTCGTTGTTGACACAGCTGTGATAACTCGCCCTCTGTTACTCACTGTGTTCTCAGAGTCATCTGTTAAATGGACTGTTAATCTGCTCTGCTACACGGACACAGTCGTTTCACACTGTATTTAATCTAACAACTGGTTCCTGTTGCCGAGGTTCTTCTCTGAGCTCTGAGATTTTTTTATATGTTGTTAAGTTTAACTGTGCTGAGGCGAGGTTGCTGCTGTTTGGGCTTAAAAAAATTATCACACAGCCCTCAGCAGAAAAAAAATGATAAATGTCCAAATATATGTATATGCATATATATACAGTATATTTATATATATTTATCTATATGTGTTTAAACATATATCTATATATTTAAATGTATATATGTCTCTATATGTGTATGCATATATATATATTTGTGTTTATACATATATCTATATATTAGTATGTATGTGTACATAAAAGTAATTTTCATTTCTTCCCACCTGACGTTAATCTTTCGTAGCCTAATTTATTCTCTGTGCCTTCTGCTTCATTCCCCGTCTTCTCCCTGTCTCTGTGTAGAACCTGACCTATGAGATCATTCTGACGTTGGGCCAGGCTTTTGAGGTAGCCTATCAGCTGGCTCTGCAGGCCCAGAGGACCAAACAGCACCACAGCATCCCTGCAGGACCTGGATCAGAAGTCACAGAGCTGAAGTCTGGCCGACCGGTGCCAAAACCACGTGGAAGTGTACGCAAGTCAGCGGTGAGTCAGAAGACACTGATGCTCCGAAGACTTAATCTTTTATCATTTTCAACAAAAAACTACCACTCAGAAGACACTGATGCTCCGAAGACTTTGAAATAATCTTTTATCATTTTCAACAAAACACTCCTGTGTGAACTTTATGTCTGTCTCACCACCATAAAATCCCATAATGCTTTACGTGTCTTTAGACCATTTTCTGTGTTTCAGCTTCTGCTTAAGTTTAACTTACAATTATATACAGTACCACACAAACACTTGAAAATCCGCTGATAAAAATTTGAATTTGACTTGGCCGCCCTCCAGTGGTCATGTGGCAGTAGTACATGAGAGGTTACAGGCATAGCATACTACAGAAAAAATAGTCAGATTATCTTCCAGGAGACGACAGAGGTTGTTAACTATACGTGCATTATTCATGTGATACTGTTATAAAGTATTCTTCTAACACAGTCCACAAGGTGGCACCAGTGTAAACAATCTGTAATAACATGGTCTATAACTGTCTGCAAATCATCTTTGCCCACAGGGAGATCTGGTGGACCAGGAGGGTGACGCTCAGTCGCAGGGCAGTGCAACATGGCTGGTGGACCCAAAGGAGTCCAAGCGCACTATTAGCACTAAGTATGAGACCACCATATTCTAAATGGAATCCTTTTCGTCCCAACCTCCTGACCTGGGTCTGGTCTCACCCCTCTTCACTCTCGTCTTTCTGTGTGCCTTTCACTGTGACTCTGCCTCTCCTCCGCTGGGCTGGACCCCTGTCCTCTCACTCTCGCTCCCCCCACCCCACCCTCAGCCGCCCTGCTAGTTATGGTCGATGTCATTCACACTACTAATGCTCCACTACCCTTTACTGTTTTCCACTCCCTGTGTTTGCCTCCAGAACTTTATTTGTTTTTCCCACTAGACTTCGCTCCTCAGTAATAAGCTGTCGTTTTGTTTCCTGCTGCTTTTACTGCTCTGTCAGGCAACGGCTGCTCTGAGGCTTGTAATTTGCGTCTCTGAACTCCTCACTCCTCACTCCCCTCCAGTAATGGAAAATACTGTATTTCCTACAACCGAGCGCGGCTCGCAGTTGTTTGTACCTGGACGGACATGTTAGCTGAGGAAACTGTTAGAAATAATAGTTCTGTTATTTGATGCATCAGTTGAAATTTCAGGCTGTGACTGTAAAGGAAGACAAATGTCTGGGGGACTGTGGAGGGGGTTACACAGGTCTCTGTCTGAAGCCACAGACACAGGGATATTTCTGGGTTCCATCTTGGTAGTAGGCTAACGTGGACGCACGATATCATCAATTGCAGATAAATTATCACTCGCCACTTTTTATCGACCAATAACGTAATTCCAGTTGACAGACAAAGCGATAAAGGCAACAGTGTTTCTACACATGAGCAGACAGCTGCAGCATATCCATTGGCATATGAGCTAATGCTAACATTATCTCAGTTGTTTTTGGCATATGACAACAGTGCTTTAATTTTCAAACTATGCTTGAAAGATCCCTGGATAACCAGTCTTTTTCTTCGCCAGCGGGTTCACGATACTTCTCAAACAGTTCCCTTTTGCTGCATTATTGGAGATGTTTTAATTTTATATATTACATACTTTGTCTTGTTAATTCTTAAACAATACAATTTAAATATTGATTATCTTATCGGTATCAACAATGAAGACCAAAAAAATCATCTCCCTATCCTGCAGGTCCACATCATAACTACTGCTAACTGTATTAGCATGAAGATGGCATACTCCTCATTGTCTTTCAGTCAGATCACTGGAATTTCAACTTGATGCTTCTATGGATTTAAATAATTATCAAAGCTCTTATGAATCCCCAGGTTTATTTCCCCCTTTCATTTCTCCCCTTGTCCTCCCTTATTTTGACTGTGCGCTCCATGTTAATGTTTCACTGCTGCCAGTCAAAGGCGTTAATAATGACAATGAGCTCAATTCACCTCCATTCATCGTCCATCTGTTTGTGTTTTGTCGTTTATGGTTTTCCTACCTTGACTTTATTTTGCTCTTACCTTTGTTTTGCATGTGTCTGTTTCCCTCCCCATAGCTGAACACTGTGGCCCCTCCCAGCCTGTCAGATAGAGCTGGGTACTGTAGGAAAAGTGACCCCAGTGCTGCAGAACACGCCCCCAGGTGGATGGTGGCCACATTGACACACACACAGGCCTGAGGAAAAAAAAATGTTTTCATCAGTGCATGCATTGTCTGTTCATTTGATTTTACAGCTTTGCCTCCGTACGCAGCCAGAAATTGGATGTGAGGTCTGTTATGATATAAAGGGGAAACCATTTTGGTTCAGCTGTGAGTTCCAGGTAGAGGAAGTTGGAGTAGGAGTGGACCCCATATGGGGTCTTGGTACGTTAATCAGTTTCCTGTCAGACGTTTTGTTTGAATTTCCGTTATACTGTGGAGGTACACACTTACTAAGAGACTTTACACTGTAGGTACAACTGTATAATTTCACACTGTAGCATCTCATTATGACGTCCACTGTCCACGGTACACAGTGTGTAACTGTGACAAACAAGAACAACTGTTGAATCAGACGCAGACAGGACATAGAAACTGACACTACACTGTTTTATAGCAATGTAACAGGGAGTGGCTTTTATTTGATTTAAAAGTTTCTCTCTCGCTCTCTTTCTCTCCTTCTGTCTTTGGTTTTATATTTAATTGCTTTTTTTAAGTAACAATGACCTGTCTTAGGGCAGGGACTGGATCAGGTGTGGCTCTCTCACTTCCCGCCTGCATCTTTGTTCAGTTAATCTTGCCAAGACTTTCACCAAACCTGCCACACAGGCTGGGTTCTTCTTTAGCTTTTAGCCACAGAACTCAACAATAGGGCATAGCATGTCTCTCCTGATTAAGCCTCAGTTTGTTGACTGTTATGGTAGAATTTTTTTAATTTTTTAATGTCAACTCATGTTAAGGTACGTAGTCAGGTCCTTTTGTTTTGTTTTTTTTAATGGTATATGTGGTACTTTGTAAAGGGCCAGTACGTTAATCGTATGGTACACTGTCGCTGTCAGCCTGCTCCAGTTGGCACTGTCAGCCTACAGACTGGTCCCATTCTGCTATTGCACATTCTAGTCAGAACCAGGAGATATACGCTGGGACTAATCTGATGACAATAATGATGAGAATGATATTGTACATGAAATATAGTAGTCTGTATTTTCATACTTGAATGAGTTTTGCTTTTATAGATATCTCTATATACAGTATGTGTATATGTCTGTATGTATGTACGTATATAATTTTTTTTGACATTTGTCAAAACAGAGAAAAGGACTATGTCTTATAAAGTTAAACATATCGTGAATAAACACCCTGTGATTTAAATAAAGGCTGAGAAAATGACTCAGAAGAGGGACCTCACTTCCAAAAAAAAAAAGAAAAAAAGATTGTAAATAATCTTGGGCTTCCAGGCTTTTATATGAATATTTTTCATAATTGTACAACTAATAAATTGCGCAATTAGAGATGGTGGTGGTGTTTGATTTTGTCTGTTTACTGCTTTGTGTCCATTGCTGTGATGCAATGCCTTATTGTTTCTTACCTGTGCCCCCATAGTTCTTGTTGTAACATAAATCAGGAAGCAGAAACTATATTATTACATGGTTTATTAACTAACTTAAAAAAACTAAAACAACCTTTTAATAACTCTTTTCATCTGCTATTGTTTCGCTTTCATTGCAGTGTGAATCAAAAGGTATAATTTACATATTTAACATTAAATTTTTTCATAATGAATCCGGTTCCGTTTGAAAATTGCCCGTATCTGACCGTTGGGTCTATTCCTACCATCGAGTCCATCTTGGAAACGTCACATGCAGGTGTTCGCTGATTGGTCATGTGCCAACCTGTTCGAAAAGGTAATTGGCTCACCTGCTCGCACCCACTTCCTGCTTTTACCTTCTCTCAGTCGCCAGTCGCTGTAATGTTTCAAAGCCGAGGTCTGACACAACCGCGGAGGTTTGTTTTAAACCCACTAGGCCCGAAATGAAAGAAGTTCAAATGTTGCTCAAGACGTCGAATCTTTAGCAGCTGAACACGTGAGTAGAGAAATGTTTCTCTTTGTTTTATTTTTAAATGACGAGAGAATGTTGATACGTAGTTTCGTGACAAAAGTCGCTGTTTCTCGGTCGAGTTGTCGCGGCAGAAAACGACACTACCTCAGTATAAATGCATGTTTACAAGTGTTTATGACATTAGTGATGTGTTCAAATAGTATATGTGCACTTTATTTCCTATATACGCATTATTACTTCGCTTTGACTTTGTGAAATCGATTCGGTTTTTATGCCCTAAAAATATCTCAGGTTGTATCGCAGCAGCGTCTAACTTTCATCGAAAAGTCGCAATACAATCAAAGTTATATTTTCTTTAACGTGAAAATGGGTTGGGGAAATGTCAGTTACTGTTGTCAAATGTCATCTAAAGGTTTTACAGTCTAAAGTCATAGAGAAGCAAAGAAACTAAAATGCGTTTGAAATATTGAAATTCATTTTTACATTTTAATAAAGTCAAAATAGTGGGATAACCTTTAGAGAAACCAATTAAACCAGTTTGTCATTTATTGATCTGTAATCTTTGCAACTCAATTTGGTTTTTCACCTGAGAATCCTGAAAATACAGGAGATGTGCAGGCTTATTAATTTTTTTTTTTAATGTCACGAACAGGAGGGTTTTTTTACATTAAATTCTAAATGTATGAGTTATAAGTTATAACTTTCTTCTAATGTAGTAATTTACCATTGACATATCAAACTGGAAAAACACCAACAACCTGAGAAGTGCTTAAAATCAGAGCCAAGTAAAATTTGTTTTTGTTTCTCTTATTGCAACAAAACTAATTTAACATAAATTACTCAGCAGAAAAACATGTAACACAATTAACCAACCATATGTGTGACCCTAATTATGCAGATCATATGCCATGATCAATGGGAACTTGTTTTTGAGTGATGATATATTGATGACAGTAGGTTTTTATTATCTGCCCTCATTCAGTGGTTTGGTAAAGACATTGACAGAAAAAGAGCTCACATACTTGCACTTAAATGTCAATAGTCCTTCAGCTGCCAAGCTAAACATTAATGAAATATTTCTCTTTTTTGCAGCAGGTTGAGAGTTTCACAACCTGCTGTTGAACATTTTTTTAGTGTTAATCATTAAACCACTTCTTTCAGTGCTCCCCTTTGAACGCATACTTGACATTTTTGGACCACCTTGTTTGTGAACACGGTTCCATTTGTCATGGTGGAGTGTAAATGATACTCTCAGATGTGTTTAAAAACCTCACGAAAGTGACTTTCAACAGTGATAAAATGTAAAAAAAATTAAAGGTGCTGGTGTTCAGCTCTAAAGTCAAAATGTTTTACTGTCACATCACATCATAGCGCTGGGTTGAATTTAACAGTTCTCTTAAAATAGGCGGAAACTAGCAAAGTGACATTCCTGTCACTATTAAATCCTGACTCAGCTGGAGGTGCAGTGAGCTTTCACACTGTCTCACACACACACACACCTGCAGCTTAGTTCAGTGCAGGTGTTGGCTGCAGTCATGTAGGCATTTGTGCCATTCTGCACAGCTACACAGGCCAAAGGCTATAAATCAGCAGCAGACGGCCACTGACTGCTTCGTCACCTGAGCCGTGTTTCCAATAAATACATCGCAGTGCAGGTGTTGGTGATCAGTGTTTCTTCTTTCAACAGTTCTTGTTGTGTTCTCATGCCAACGAGCCAGAAGGTCAGGTTTGAACCAGGGCTCCACGTAGGGCTGTCACTATGACCTGACTGAATGGGCCAGGTTTGGCGTCCCTCATTGTCCCTACTGTGACCCTTATTAGTGTTCCTTATTGCACACATTGTTGAAGCCATCACCGTGTCAGTATTCTCATTGTGCGCAGCTGTTATGCTATACATGTTTTCAAGGATTAAATGCTTTTATGTTTTTTTGTTTTCATATCAATTCTTCTACCTTTGTCCTTGTTGTTAATTTTCCCATTTTGGGATCAATAGTCTAATCTAATCTATGAGTTCAACAAATGTTTGTTTTTCAAAATGCATTTGACAGAATGACATGATCTGTGAAGATCTCTGCTCTAGTTTTATTTCATTATTATGGTAATTAAATATTCCATTGCTGTTAAGATAAGAATTTGTGCTTGGAACAACATGACTTGTAATTGTCGATTACTTTATCAAGTCGATTTATAATGACATGATAAAGTTAGTGATAGCACTATAAAAAAAAATTTTAAATTCAGTTTATAATTTAATGGCTGTTTATTTTTATTTTGGATATAAATTATAATTACATAAAACTTTCCTGACTAAAATATTAGTCTATGTTACTGGTTAAAAGTATAAATATGATATAATAAATATTTTTGCTCATATTTTTTAAGTCTTTATTTTGTTTTATTGGATTTCTTTTTTTCCATTTCTTTTTTTTATCCATCCGGTGGATTTTTTATCCTTCCATTTCTTTTTTTTATCCATCCGGTTTGAACACCTTTTCTCTCTTCTCATTTCGTAGCCTGGCTATTTCCTGGAACTGCTTACAGGAAATTGGTTGTGCAAAATTTAACAGCAAACGGAAATGTGTTAATGACAGTCATTATTGAAAATTATTGTGATCATTTTAATTATGTTAAAATACACTCACATTGTTCCATTCTTTTTAATGACTTTGCCTTTGTCTTCTTCTCACATTTCTACGTTTACTCTCTCCCACAGAGTCGTCCTGCGAAGACCTCCCCTCTCGTCCTGTTCCCTATGCCATGCCCAGGAGTGACCTGCGGACAGGCAACATTGCCATGGAGTCCTTGAGCAACAATGACAGTGCCGGAAGCTGCGAAAGTGTAATCAGCGTGAACTCTGCCTTCGTAAGTGCTGCTGGAGGTCACTTGACCTTGGTCACATGATGATGAAGCTCAATGTATGACACGCACATTTTTATTATTATTGTGTTAATCTTGGCAGCCCTCTTTCTGACTGGTACATAGAGACTCCGTTGTCAGAAAGAGCTGGACCAGAGTGGTGTAAATAGTCCTTTTGTCCGACTGTTTAGAGACTAAACATTACACCTGATACTCCTGGAAATTCTTTTTTTATTATTATTATTATTCTAGTGATAACATGACATGATGTTCATTATCTCGTCTTACAAAACCTATATGTTTTAATTTAAAAAAATACCACTATTGATGCAGTTTGCATTTGAACTGATTGATTGAGTTTTAGTTATTGATTGATCAACATCAATCAAACATATGAGTTTTAGTTATTGATTGATCAACATTCTTTTATGGTCTTAAATGGACAATAAGGAGAACACTTGTCTTTGTCTTTGTCTGAGTCTGTGTCTGTCTGTCCAGATCACAGTGATACTGAAATTGTGAAATGTAACTCGACATGTTTCCAGAACCGGTGAAGTAATCGCTTTGCCAAAAACAAGTCACATTTATGATAAGACACAGCTACAATAATATCAGTCTGCATTGTTTCATGTCAGACAGAATCATTTGTGTGGGTCCAGCTGGAACACTGTGCACAAATGTCTCCAACACATCATTGGGATCATGTCCTGGAACCGCTAGTGGTCAATTCATTTATGGGTCTGTCGTCTGATGTTGACTCAACCAGTTATTCTGAGCCTGATGAATCTGACATCGACTTCCTGGAATATAGCAGTGTCTTGAGTAAAGAAAATAATCCACCGACGTTTACTAAATTAAGGCCATAATTTAACATTGGTTTTGAAAAGTAAAATTGCTAAACCTATTTCTACATGACTGAACTACCCTCATTACACCACATGACCTTTTGTAGGAGTTCGTTTTGATAATAACCTGATTTTACTGTCACTGTCAAGTGTGTATTTGTGAGTAAAAATGAAGTCTGATTTTAATATTATTTGATTTCCTCCAAGAATCAGATTGTCCAAGAATCTTTCCGACAGTATTTTTCTCCCTTAGGACAATGATTGAACACTTTCAGGTCTTTCGGGTTTTATTGATGACAGCAGGCAATATTTAACTGAATAATAAAATATAATAAAAAGTTAAAAAGAACCTTTTGTTTGACCGTATCAGTTATTTGCAACGTGAATGTCAGTCAGTGTGGTGACTTTTACTGTCGTGTCCTGTTCCTGTGTTTGCAGAGTGAGGACAGTATGGAGCACTTATCTGCAGAGGAGAGAGCGTGTCTCATGTATTTGGAGGAAACCATCGAAGCTCTGGAGGTGCAAGAGGACAGTGGTTTTTCCAACGATGAACCAGATTGGTCAGGAAAAACAGGTGGGACTAAAGGGAAGGGTATGTTGCACACTATTTAATTAGCTTGAGCTTTAGTTATTTAGTTACTTTCTGCAATTTATTGTACACTTTCCCATAGTAATAAATAAATACTGTATTTTCCAGACTATAGGTAACTCCGAGCATAAGTCACACCGGCCAGCTAGAGTGCCCACTAGCGGCTGTCAGTGGGAAAATAACAAACATGGGAAATTTATTATATAAGTCGCACCAGAGTACAAGTCGCAAACCCAGCCAAAGAATGAAAAAAAAAAATGTGAGTAGATGCAAAAAATAGATGTTCCTTTAAACTCTGTCACTGTTCTTTCTTTTTAGACTTTTCCAATTCCATGTCAGCGTCTGATAGAGATGAGCATCAAACTTTGAACCACACCACTAAAATAGAGACTCACCTTGTTTCTGAAACCAACACACATCTCCCCTCATCATCCGAGAAGGGAACTCAACCTCAACCCGTTACCGATGAATCAGTTCCATCAGCCTCTCCGTCGAGAGTGCTTTGTGTAACTACGGATGCATCTGGTCATCCTAAGATCATCGCAAGTACCAGTCTTCACTCAGCTCAGCCTGTTGAGCCCTCCGAAAATAATTTGGTTTTGATCCCTCCACCCTCGGATTTTATGGACAAGCCAAATCCTCGTGCAGACCAAGGTGGAATCAAAAACTCAGGTCCATCCACCAACCCTTCGGGTGCAGCTGTTGACCTAGAACAGCTACGTCAGAGAGCCCGTGTGGGGAAAACGTCAGAGAGTTCTTCTGTGTTTCAGGAAAGCTCGACTCTGTCTGAAGTGCCTTCCTGTGTGAGTGCATCTCCTGCAATTTACCTCCCACCAGAGGCCCCTCATGTGATCCCCGATGACTTAAGGAGTCCACTTCCAGAACACATGGAACCTAAGAGTCCACCTGCTGTGGCTCCTAAGCCTAAGAAACATCCTGCTAACATCATTCGGAAGTCACCTAACACATCAGGTGCCGGCACTGACAGCAACTTGGGTCATTTTGTGCCGTCAGAACAGGAGAGAGTCCACATGGAGGCACTGCGAAAGCTGGGTCTCTTAAAAGGTGACGAGACGGATTCAAGTCCTGTCCAGAGCCCCAAAGGTTCTCATAAAACTAGAAGCTCTTGGGGAGCGCCTCCTTCTCCGGTCAGTCCAGCAACTCCTCGTACACCGAGCTTCAATCGACCTCCTGTGTCTGTCCCTGCACTCTCTCCTCCTGTTGACGCCGCATCGGTTAATGCCAAAGTTTCAGAAATTCTTCCAGTTCCTGCCGCGTTCAGTGACCCCATTGGGCAAGAAGAAGCAGCTGCTAAGGATGTTTTAGATGTCAGTCCAAACCAGAAGACTCCTGGACCTCATCTTCCATCACCCTCCATGACCAGACACCCAGCTCCACCCAATACCACAGGTGTTAAATCAGCCACCCTGGAGCGCTCAGGCCCAGGTCTAAGCAGCTTAATGGCAGGCCAAGACTTTAATCTGGCAAGTCAGCTGCGTAAGAGTCGGCCAAGGCCCGCCTCTCTGGGGAGTGGGAAAGAATTTACAAGCACTCAAGGAAAGGATGTACAGGCAGCCCCTGCCAGCAGTCCGCAGCCAGATTCACGGAGGTCCGTGCATGACTACTCAGCCCTCCAGCGCTCTCAGAAGCTGCCTCGCTCTGAGGGCGTCAGTGTACTGATCTGCCCGCGGTCGGACAACGAAGAGGCCCGACGCAAGGCACTGAAGAAGCTGGGGCTGCTCAGAGACTGATACATCACACTCAGGTCAGTGTCTCAGAATACTGGGGCTCCAGGATGGTCAGCCACAGTGCACTGTAAAAGCAGCTTCAAACGCCAGGTACTCTATGGACACAAGGTGTCAGTGCACGTCACTGCTCGTCATCTTCGCTCTTCACCTCATTGGCCAAGAAGTGCCAAAGGGAATTCCTATAATAAACTGTTGGCAGAGGTTTTATTTACTTGGTGCGTAGCCAGAAGTGAATCAAGAAATATCACCCTTTGTGATAGTGAATCTCAAACTATGGTGATGATTGATTGATTTGAACTTTATTGATCCCAAAGTTAGGAAGTTCTTGTGTTATCAGCAGATTGGCTACCTACAATGTGGTTCCTCTCGGAATCGAACCCAGGACTCTGCTCTCTGCTTCCGAGGCATGAGTGCTAACCGCTATACTACGGAACCGACAATGATGGTACTCGTACCACAGTTGGCACTTTGACTCCCCCTACTGAGTAGTGTGTTTGCATTCAGTGTCAGATTTAATTTTTAGCGTCAGTGGTATTTCTAACTTATTGGACAGTGTAGCTTCAGCTGGTAAATAAATACAACTATTTTTTTTAATGAATAAATCTCTTCTCTGTAGTGTGCTTAGCTAAATTGTGTGGGCCTGTGCTGCTGTGGTTTAATGTTTAAAGCCAAATCTTTCTTGAGGTGTACACAGTGTAGGAAGGTTGAGAACCAGTGTTTTAGAATAATCTTTTTATACCCAGGATCAAGGACTAGCCTGCTATTAATCCAACTCACTTCAACTGACTCACATCAACAGTGAGATAAAAACGATGACCAACTTCCCTTATAATGGTTGATAAGGGAGGTAAATCATTTACCTGTCAAATACCAAACCTCTGAGTGAATGTTGACTCTGAGGGCAGACGTCACAGCTGCTTCAGTTGTGTCACACAAAGAAAAAGGAAAGACTCAAAGGTCCAGACTAAAGTCATGGTTGAAAACATTCTGGTCTTTTCCACTCTGCTCTATGAAGCTGAAGCTGACTTTGGAATATTTCTACCGTAGAAACTGAGAACCATCAGCTGACGTCTGGGTCAGCTGTGAGTCACGTCACAACAACACCAGACTTTTGCTCTAGCCTGTTGGACACATGACTTCCCAGACATTCCCTTTTCACGGCCTTCATCAGGAAGGAAAGCAGACGGAAGATATTATTTGAGAACAATGTTGAAACAAATCTCGAACTGTTTTATAAACAGCAGGTGCACTGAAGGACACCTTCAGATTGAAGAGACGTCAGGATTTGTACAAGAAAAATAACCCCCTGACCTCCTTCTTCTGTCAGCTCCAACTCTCTTCAGCCATTATTTCCATTCTACTTTCGAAAGCACTGCAGATCTTTTCAAGGAGCAAAGTAACCACGTATTTATCCATTTCCTGTTTTGCTTCTCTGGTTAACAAGAGCCTTCCTGTCAAACTCCATCACTGATGCTGCTGACAGGCACTGATCCTGCGATGTCACTTCAAGTGTGTGCTGTTATCTTATGAGCCACATATGAACTTTTGACATCGCTGTCTGTTCTTTTTTTTTCCCCCACTCAGCCTTCCTCTTTGGTTATTTTTGCCTTTTCTCAACCTTGAATACCTTTAATTCCTTAAATTCACTTTAATTTCTGGACGTGTTTTTGCAGGTTATGGCTATTAAACATAAAACATTGTTTTTGATTAGATGCAGGTAAATCGTGTTGTTTATATAAATTTATTAATAAAAAAATGCCATATACTTCCTGTAACCTAAGACAAGATATTTTCGTATTCAAACGTACGTGTTCTGCACTGCTGCAGACTGGTATACTGTGTCACTGTCTGTCACTGCAGCCACAGACCTCTATGTTACCATGTGATATGAAAAGTCACAAACAGAAGCCTCAGTGTTCAGCCTCAGCTCCACAGGGTTTATCTGATCTGATGTCAGCCAACCTGTGCAACCTGTTTCCCTCAGCTGTGAAGCTTTTGTCCGACAACCTGAGCCTCCTGCCATATTTGAACAAAGTCTGTGGAATACTCGGTACTGGACTCAGTACTTTTATTTTATTATTTTATTATTATCATCTTTATCCACATGAAAAACACATGCATTTATCAATTAGTGCTTCTGCACCAGTGTGACTTGGCAGCGTCTTACCCTCTCATGCCACAAGGGGGCTACTGTCTGTGATCTGTGTTTATTGTGCATCTCTGCCAAATTCCTCTTAATAAGCCATTACAGTGATTCCTAGAGCCCTGCCCTGCACACATGAATTAACTTCAGCCCATTTTCTACAAACACACCCTACAGTTTCCGCAATACTAAAAATATCTGCTGTTATATGTCACACTTCAAACTTCTGATCATTCACATTCAGACGCCGTGATTTAGCAGCGATAAAAACACACACGAGCAGGCGTCAAATCAAACCGACAGCAGCCGAACATCAAATGAACCTATAACCAGGAATACGAATCAGGTTTTTACTTATTCTTCGCTTAAAAAAAAAAGTCTGTTTGAAAGCAGATGGAGTGACAGAGGAGGCGGCTGTGTGATGTCACAGCAACACAGGCGGCTTTGTGCTGCTCGGTGACATGTTGCTATGTGACTTATCTTTCCTTTCCACCTGCTCTGTTTGTTGAGGTGCTGCCAGCCGACCTGACTGACAGGTACTGAGCCGCAGCACACTCACTTTCACTGCTACCCTGAAGGCAGCGGAGTCGAGCTGCTACACACAACACGCCAAGGACGCGTGCACTCTCCTTCACTTACCGTATATGGCAGCGGAGTCGAGCTGCTACACACAAGACGCCAAGGACGCGCGCTCCTTCACTTACCGTATAGTCTACGTTTTTAAACCCAAAACAGGATTAAATTCGATGAGATTAGAACAAACGTTATTGATCCCACACAGGAAATGAACACGTCGCCACAAAAAAACAAAACAAAACAGCGAATGTTGCTAGAAGAAAAAAACTCTGATCGAGTAAAACCAACATTGATAAATATATATTAAAATAACATTTGAAAAAATTCAAATTCTTCTTGTCAACATCTGTCTTAAAACGTTTTGACTCTCCCATGTCCTTCGTCAAAGTTTTCCAAACTTTCTAAACGTTTAGTCATTACCTGCTGTAATGACTAAAGCTTATCATTAGCTTATCTTGTATTTTATGGCTGATTCGCGGCTAATTCCGAGCCCACTCTTAGCTTGTGCCGTACGAATGCAGTTCATGAGAAATGGTGAAATGTCTTTTACAGATTTATTTAGAGTTATATGTAATGCACATTAAGAAAAATCATTTTAGGAATATTCTTAATCATCGCTAATGAAACAGATGATCCTCTTGTATTTAGCCTTCCTTCTTAAATGTGACTTATCGTTTCTCCATACTGATAATTAAACCCAATTCTTTGTCTGATGTTTGACATTCTCTCAGTCCCTAAGGTTCTCATCTAAACTGACGTTCCTACTTTTGTGGTAAGTATATTTATACCTGCATTCCACGCTGCTTTATCTTTACTTTTAACCGTTTTTTGAATAAATACTTTTCATTAGTTGAGTTTAGTTTTATTGTGAGTTATCCGGCCTCTTTTCTTTTCTTTTTCTTCTTCCGTCACTATCTGTGTTTATTCTAAATTTACTTGCAGCACTTTCCTCCGTTCCGACTCCGGCTGATCATCCATTACTAACCGTCACTACATCCCAGCTGACTTCGGTCCACGGTCTCCATGTCCCAGGAGCAGGTAGAGGCATTTTCTCACTTCTTGTTGTTAAATGTCTAGTGTTTTACTGCTGAAGTAGTACACTAAAAAAGTATTAAATTATTAAAAGTATTTTAAAAAATGGTTAAATATTCATAGCCCAATATAAATGTACCATGATGTACTCAATGGAGGACAAACAGTTTGAAAATATTTATTGTACAAATGGACTAAAACTTGACGTAATCCAAAGTTTGTACGGAAATATGTTAAGACAAAGAGCAAGTTCTTTTTACCTGAGTGTAGGCCTGCCGAAACAAAGTTTATTTTAGAGTCTACCACCAGAGGGCAGTCCAGACTGACGTTTATGTGCCAGTAAACCCACGACTGCAGCGGTTCTTTTCCGTCGTGTTCTCACTGTTGGACGTTCTGTCAGGGGAACTTTAGATGTTGTGGCTCAGATCGAACTCCTCCGATTATTTATCACTGAAACATCACACAACATCAAGTAGCTCAAAGCACGACTCCTCCAACCCGAGGCCATGATTTCACATCAAAGTCACTTCAATCAGATCTCCCAGACCAGTCTGGAATTCAGAAATACTATCATCTATAATAAACAGCAA